TACCCTTTATTACCACTCCTACTTAACATTGTGCTGGAAGTCCTAACTAGAGCAATAAAGCAAGAAAAAGAAATAAAGGGCATCCAAATGGGAAAGGAAGAAGCAAGATTATGCCTATGCACAGATGATATGATCCTATACACAGAAAACCCCAAAGATTCCACAAGAAAACTAATGGAACTAACAGAAAGATTCAGCAGAGTAGAGGATACAAGATCAACATACAAAAATCAGTTGGCTTTCTATACACCAAAAAGAGATCTTCGGAAAAGAAATCAGGAAAATAATACCACTTATAGTGGCCCCTAAAAAGATAAAATACTTAGGAATAAACTAACCAGGGATGTAAAAGACCTATACAAAGAAAACTACAAAGCATTACTGCAAGAAACCTACACGAATGGAAAAACATACCATGCTTATGGATAGGAAGACTCAACATTGTGAAAAATGTCAATTCTACCCAAAGCAACCTACAGATATAATGCAAACCTCATCCAAACACCAACAGTATTCTTTAACAAGATGGAAAAACTAATCACCAACTTCATATGGAAAGGATAGAGGCCCCAGATAAGCAGAGTATCACAAAAGAAAAAGAACAAAGTAGGAGGCTTCACACTATCTGGTCTTAAAATCTAGTCTACAGCCACAGTAGTCAAAATGGCCTGGTACTGGCATGACGACAGACATATAGGCTAATGGAACAGAATCGAGAACCCACATATAAATCTTTCCACCTATGGTCAGTTGATCTTTTACAAAGGACCAACGTCCATTAAATGGTGAAAAGACAATCTTTTTAACAAATGGTGGTGGCAAAACTAGATGTCCATTTATGAAACAATGAAACAGGTCCTATACCTTACACCATACACAAAAACTAACTTAAAATGGATCAAAGACCTAAATATAAAACTTAAAACTATAAAGATCATGGAAGAAAAACAGGGACAATACTAGGGGCCCTAATATATGGCACAAATAGAATACAAACCATAACCAATAGTGCACAAACACCAGAAGATAAACTAGGTAACTGGGAAAGACTAAAAAATTAAACATGTATGCTCATCAAAAGGCTCCTCCAAAAGAGTAAAAAGAGAACCTACAGACTGGGGAAAAAAATTTTGTTAGGACATATCCGACAAGGGCCTAATCTCTAAAATCTATAAAATACTTCAACACCTCAATAATAAAAAGACAAATTATCCAATTTAAAAAAGGGCAAAGGATATGAACAGACACTTCACCAAAGAAGACATTCAGGCAGCTAACAGACACATAAGGAAATTCTTGGGATCATTAGCCGCTAGAGAAATGTAAATCAAAACTACAATGAGATACCATCTCACCCCAACATTAGTGGCACTAAACAAAAACAGAAAATAACAAATGTTGGAGAAGTTGCAGGCAAACTGGAACTCTTATGTACTGCCGGTGGAAACAAAATGGTACAACCACTATGGAAAATGATATGGCACCTCCTTTAAAAGCTAGAAATAGAAATACCATACAATTCAGCAATCCCACTCCTAGAAATATATCCTAGAGAAATAAGAGCTGTCACACAAATGGACATATGTCCACTATGTTCATTGCAGCATTACTCACAATAGCAAAAAGATGGAAACAATCTAAGTACCCATCAACAGGTGAATGGATAAACAAATTATGGTACATACAGTGGAATACTACGCAGTGATAAAGAACAATAATGAATTTGCAAAACATCTCACAACATGGGTGAATCTGGAGGGCGTTATGCTGAGTGAGATGCGTTAATCACAAAAGGACAAATATTGTATGAGACAACTATTATAAAAACCCAAGAAAAGGTTTACACAGAGGGAATAAAAAACAATCTTTGATGGTTACGAGGGAAGGGAGGGACAAGGAGGGGAAGCCTCCACTAGCCTGAGCCCAGAAAAAGTAGATGGTGCCCAGCTACCACCACTGACCGCTCTGACAGGGATCACAATAGAGGGTCCCAAACACAGCGGGATAAAAATGTGGAACAAAATTCAAATTAAAAAAAAAATAAAAAAATCAGACTTAACTAGTCTGACAGAGGCTGGAACAATCCCTAAGACTATGGCACCCAGATACCCTGCAAATTGAGAATTGAAGCCACCCCCGAAGTCCACCTTTCAGTCAAAGATTGTTGTTATTGTTAGGTGCTGTCAAGTAGGTTCTGACTCATAGCGACCCTATAGGACAGAGTAGAACTGCCCCACAGAATTTCCAGGGAGCAGCTGGTAGATTCAAACTGCCAACCTTTTTGGTTAGCAGCCAAGCTCTCAACCACTGCGCCACCAAGGCTCCAGCTAAAGATTAGACAGGCCTATAAAACAAACAATAATACACGAGAAGAACATGTTTCTTAGTTCAATCAAGTATACGAGACTAAATGGGCAACACCTGTCCAAAAGCAAAGATGAGAAAGCAGGAAGGGATAGGGAAGCCAGATAAATGGACACAGGGAACCCAGGGTAGAAAAGGAAAGGGGGAGAGTGCTGACACAATGTGGGAATTGCCACCAATGTCACAAAACAATTTTTGTATAAATTTTTTAATGAGAAACTAACTTAAGCTGTAAACTTCCACCGAAAGCACAATAAAATTTTAAATATATATATCGATTCATTATTTTTAACCTTTTTTGGATTGCAATATTTACTTTAAAACTTTTACTGGCACAATTATATATACATGAAGTTCAATAAAGGACATTTCTCTTCCCTCCCCCCAAAAAAAGAACAAATTCTTAGAAAAATACAGTTTATCAAACCTGAGTCATGAAAAAATAGAAAATCTGAATAATACTAAAAGTAATAAAGAACTTGAGTAAGTGATTAAAAATCTTCCCATTAAAATAAATATAACAAAACACCACTTTCAGATGGTTTTTCCAGGAAGGACTAAGTAACATTATAGGAAGAGATCATTCTAATCCTATACAAACTATATAAGATAAAAAGAAACACTGCTAGATAACGGATTCATTCATAACAGAATCAATCAAAAACAGTATGAGGAATGGAAATTTAGGTCAACCTCAGTCATGTACAGAGATCCAAAAATGCAAACAAAATATCAGGCACCAAAAAATCCAGAACTATAATTCAACACATTAATTTTCAAGAAGAATCATCATATGGTCATCTCAGTCAATGCAGAAAAAAATATTGAAAACTTTCAAAACCTACTTATGATTTTTTAGAAATCTTACCAAACTAGGAATAGAAGCAAATTCCTTAATCTGACAAAGCATATCTACCAAAAATTTACAGCCAACATTCTTCTTAATGGTGAAACATTAGCAAGACTCCCTTCAGAATCAGAAACAGGATGCCCACCTTTATCAGTTCTACTTAACAGTGTGCTGAAGGCCTGAGCCAATGCAGAAAGACAAGAAAAACAGACTAACTGGAAGTGATGAGATCAAACTGCCATTATTCACAGATAGTCTATCCACAAAGAAAACCAAGAAAAAAAAAAAACCTGTAGATAAAATATTGGAATTAAATAAATCATATATACTCATTTAATCCCACAGCAGAAACGAATGAACTAGAGCTATATTCAAACACATGGATGAATCCTAAAAATAATGTTGAGTATAAAAGGTAGGTGACAGACAACTACATACCATATGGCACCATTTTCATTAAGCTCAAAACAAGCAAAACCATACAACGCATTAAGGATACAAACACATGTGGCAAAACCATTTTTTTAAAGAAAGGGAATGATAAACAAAACGCAGGGGAATGGGTTGCCTCCGGAGGATGGGGTTAAAAGGAGCACTTCAGCAGCTTCTAGTTTTGAAAATGGGGTGGGTGGAGGTCAAGAGAGTGGGCTTGCATATATGTTATAGGTTCTTTTGTAAATGCATCAATACTACATAAATAAAATAAGTTAATAGACTAGCTCAATCAAATGACAGTCAATAGATACATATTTAAGTGATAGACTTATTATTTCAAGCGTCTGCTAAAAACAATTCCTCTTCTGCACAGGCTTCATAGGAGGGTAACCACAGGAAACACAATAACCTCCTCCACAATATATGTAGTAAATCAATGTCTGTTACCCTGGGGAAGGAGTACAGCCCTCAAAGGAGATGGAACCATGGTCATTATGCACCAGCCAAGAGCCATGGTCCAGGCTGGAGGCTTCCCTTGCTCATATTATTCCATGACCAGAAAGCTCCTCACCAGACTCCCTTTGAGAGCCTCCCCACCCTGGCCTCCTCCAGCAAGCTCTGCAATGAGTATGCAATAGGCCTGTTCTTTACAGTCATAAACGTTTATCTTCTCACAACACCCTAAGCAAAAGCTCTTCAAACCATAAATAATTTCTAGATAACCAACGATTAACTTTCAGAACTATAATTCAGTTCTGAATGTAGTTCTCAAGGTATCAGTAATCTGGCCACTTGTCTAATACATTTGGACAAGAAAGACTTTAAGCTTAATAGATCAAAAACCATACCCAAATATTATTCAAACTTTGATGAGAATATATAATCAAAACACGCACACACACACAAAGATAGCAACCTCACTAGTAATCAGAAAAAATGTAAATCAAAACAATGAGTTTTTTCATGTCATATTTATGTATATTAAAAAGATAAATCATTTCCAGTGTTGGTTGGGTGTAAGAAATTTACATAAGACTTACATATAAGTTTACATGTAAGCTTATATGGCCTTTTTGGAGAGCAATTTGGCAATCTCTACTAGAATTTAAAGTGTATATGTTCTTCCATCTAATAATTTCATGTCTAGGTTCCCATCCAGGAAAAATATTCCCATGTGATTGCAAAAGAAAAAAAAGCACAAGAACATTCTTTGCAGCATTGTTTGTAAATGTGGGTGGGAAGGAGGGAGGAAGGGAGGGAGTGAGATAGGAAAGAAAGAAGGAAGGGAGGGAGGAAGGAAGGAAACATATCTATCAACAGCCATTAGCTAAACGAATTAATAAAAACTTACTTCAAAAAGAAAGAGGATAGAGTCCAGCTCCTCCCTTTGTGACTTATTATTCCCTGGAATACATAAAAATACGTTAGTTATTATGCTAACATTTTAACATTAGAATATTACAAATTATGTTAAAAGGCATCTTAAAACATTTAAGCCTCAACATAAATTCATTTATTCAAGAAATACCAAGAGGCAGGGTGGAACACATACTAGGAATGCAGATGGATAATCGAGCCAGCCCGCCTAGGGCCTAGTCCACATCTAGCAGAGCTGCCTCTTGATAGCTATTTAAATAGTTTCCACGTTTTCCGAGTTGTTGCCAACCTGAGGCAGGTAATTTATTAAATTCTCAAGAAGTCACTTGTGAGTTCAAATTATGGCAGAATGCATAACAAAAACAAAGAGAGTTCTAGCTTTGTACTACAAAAAGGCATACAGCAGGTGAAAATTATAAAAAGTGGTGTATCTCTTTAGGCAACTGTGTACTGTTCTTTCGATAATCACAATATAATGGAAACCACAACTACTGCAGCAGTTACCATCACTGTGCACGCCCTATGTGCCAGGCACTGTGCTAGGTGTTTGGCACACATCATCTAACTCCAGGGTCAGGAAACTTCTTCTGTCAGGACCAGAGAGTAAATATTTTAGACTTTGCAGGTCTCTTGCAACCATTCAACTCTGCTGTTGTAGTACAAAGAAGCCATAAACAGTGAGTGAGTGAGTGGGTGTGGCTGTGTCCAATAAAACTTCATTTACAAAAACACGCAGAACCCGGGATCTAACTGAATCCCCACAGCTCTATGAAGTAGATCTCATTCACTCATTCAGCAAACACTATACGGGGTTACTCTAGGTCCTGGGGATGTAGGAGTGAACAAAACTGACAACAATCTCTGCCCTGAGGCGCTAACATTCTGGCAGGTGGAGGCATGAAATAAATGAAGGAAACCAGAGGGCAGATGGAGAACGCCAGAAAAGGGTGGTATGTAACTCTGAGCAGGGAAGTCGGGGAAGGCCTCTCTGATAAGGTGACTTTTGAGCAAAGGCCTAAGAGAGGTAAGAAAGCAAGCCCTATGGAAATACGGGAAAGAGTGTTCCAGGTAGGGGGACTGGACAGTACAAAGTCCCTATGGCTGAGTATACTTGGCATGGTCAAGAAATAGCAAGAGGGCCCTTGTGGCTGCCGCAAAGTAGGGGAAGAGCTGTGGCAGCTGAGGTTACACAGCGGGTGGGCCTGAGCCCACTGTAATGACTGCGGGAATGAGAAGCCCTTTGGGGGTCTGGAGCTGGGGAGAGTCAAGATCTGACTCACATTTTCAAAGCACCATGCCAGTTGCTCTTCTGAAAAGAATCTTGCGGGTGGGAGAGGGCAAGGAAGAGGCATCTAAGTGTGGAAACTGGGAGACCACTTCTGAGGCTGCTGCAATAATTCAGGTGAGGATGATGGGGCTTCAGTGGTACAAGTTTTAGGCAATGAGAAGAGGCTGGATTCTGGGTATTCTGAAGACAGGACCAGTAACTCCAAGGCTTCAGCCTGAATAACTGGAAGGCTGAAGTTATCACAAAATGATTTCATTACTCCTAGTAAACATTTTCCTTTATGCCCTTTCTATTTTTTTTTTCTGGTATACTTTCTTTCCTGTACTTCAATAGAATTGTGCTAAAAACAAAACACTTCAAAATCTCGCCCCGTTTTTATCGGTTCTTCAGTATGACTCTTTATGGGAGATAGCAAAAGTGGCCACAGTTCTCCCCCTCCCATCGAGAGATGTCTACTTCTCCACCTTCAGACACGAGAGGTCATGTCACTCGGTTGAGCCACTGGAACCCTCACGAACGTGAGGCAGCAGAACTTGGGAAATCCCCGTGCACTTGCTGAGCATGGAACCCTGAGGCCACTGTGTGAAGGAGCTGGAACTAGCCCACCGGAGAATGAGATCCACATGGAGAACCAAGGTGCCCTGGCTGACAGCTTGCCAACTGCAAGACATGTGAATGAAGCCCTCCACCTCATATGCTGCTGTAAAAAAAAAAATGGCACAGCACACTTACAAAAATACTCCACGGGGGCAGGGTGAGGTTCACAAACAAACGCAGCAGTGGCACATTATTTGCATAAAAATACAGTATATATTAATCACAGGGAAAAAACTGAACAATCTATTAAGAAAAAAGCTTGTTACAAGGCCCAGAAGGCAGAAGGGGAGTAGGAAGCTGATGATAGGGAACACAGAATAGAGTAAGGATATTGTTGATGTGTTGTGAGATTGTTAACCATTGTCATAGGGCAACATTTGTAGTAACTGT